TTCTTTTTGTTCATTTTCATAGTCATTCAGGAACTAAACAAAAGACTTAAGAAAAGGAAAAGCCCAAAATAAAGCCAAAGCAAAAACTAATTGAATTTATACAGATAACGCATGATCAACTAAAGTGAAGGGAATTTATACATTTGGATTGATCGCTCTGATTATCTTGGGAAAAACCAGATATAATTGTGGTGTTGACCCTGAAATTTCTTTGTGAAATAATGTTCATTTTGTCTGGCATATATTAATATATTTAGTATTGGCACAAAAAAACAAGTTTCTCAATTTTGTTGTTGCTTTCATAAAAAGTTTCTTATCTTTGATGCAGTGTAATATGCGTAATCATACATTTTGCCATAACAATAATAATTACTATATCTCTGCGAAACATGGCTTTTACTTTGACACTAAACAAAGCAGGAAACAATGGAACGGGTTGTTGGTCATTTGACTAATTACGTTAATACAGAAAAATGAATAAAGTTATTATTTAAAATTGCATAGTTATTTGTAATAATCCAGAAGAACTTATCAATCCTTTAAGGCTTAACAACTCGAATATAGTATTTGGCATTTGAAAGAAGAACGAGTGGAATTTTCTATCACATTGACAGGATATTTCGAATTCCGCTCATTTCAAGTGTATTTTGAAAAATGGTTAGTAAATAAGATTCGTGTGTAATTTACGCCCTACTATATACTACTACGTTTCATTTCGTTTTTAGCAACATCGCAAAACAAAGAAATTCTCACGCCTCATACTTCTACTGTTACACATGCAAATTTTACTTAAAAACAATTGAATGAATGAAGACCAACTTATCGAGTTTAATAACTTGTTTTTTTAAACATCACATATTGACTGACTGAGATGCTTTAAAAATAACCAGTTTTTTTCGAAACAAAATTTCGAGCCCTGGTATAACGTGCATTGATTATCACTTTATCCCCTGAAATTTTTTTCTATAAAAAATTAAAATTTTAAATTTAAAAAAAAATTTCCCCAATTTTTTTTTCGTAAAAAATGAATTACGACATCAAACAAATAAATGACCCAATTCATGTAAATAAATATATTTTAAAATCTATAATAAAAAAAATCATTAAACTGAAAATCAAAATAATTTTTTTACATTGTTATTGTAGGGATATATGGAATTTGATGATTGGGCTATAGAAGTCATCGACACACCAGAATTTCAAAGACTAAGAAACCTTAAACAATTAGGGACTACATATTTTGTTTATCCTGGAGCAAGTCATAATAGATTTGAACATTGTCTAGGAGTTGGTCATTTATCAAATAAACTGTTGAAACAACTTTATAAAAATCAACCTGAACTTAAATCTGGGTCATTTGAGTCTGATCTAAAATGTGTGACATTGGCAGGTTTATGCCATGATTTAGGTCATGGACCTTTTAGTCATGTTTTTGATAATCGTGTTATTCCTAAACTTAAACTTGGGTAATTTATTCAATTGTTTTTATTATTATTTATTATTATAATTTTACATTTTTATATAATGTTATTTTATTTAGAGTTGAATGGAGTCATGAAGAGGGGTCGGTAAAGATGTTTGATCATTTAATCGACGAGAATCATATTGATTTGAATCCAGAAGAGGTAAAACTTATTAAATCTTTAATAACTGGTAAAGATCCTTCCAGGTAACCAAATGAATTTTTTGTTATGAATTTTTTACATTGAATAAAATGTTTCCTAATGAAAATCTTTAATTACTACTAAAAATAGAAATAAATCAGAAAACAGTGGGCGTGAATTTTTATTTGATATTGTGGCAAACAAACGTAATTCAATTGATGTGGATAAATTTGATTATTTAGAGCGAGATTGTTATAATATAGGAATAAAATCATCATATGACAGCTCGCGACTAATGAAGTTTAGTCGTGTTATCGATGATCAAATCTGTTATAGTCATAAGGAATCTCATAACATTTATGAGTTATTTCATACAAGATATTCCTTGCACAAAAAAGTTTATCAACATCCCGTAGGTAAATAATATTTCATTATTATTTCTATTTTCAGTGGAAGACCATTTAGCAGATAGACAAATTGATCGATTAATTAACTAGATGCTTATAAATTTAGCTACAGCAATTGATCATATGTTGGCAGACGCTTTAGTTATGGCAAATGATGTTTTCAAATTTTCAGAATCGATTTTTGATCCTAGTGAGTATTTAAAATTGGATGACAGCATTCTTAATCAAATTGAATTTTCAAAAGATAAGGTAAAATTGAAAATTAAAAACCAATTGGTGATAAAAGGCTTATAAAGCATTATTCCATTTTCGTACTAGTGTCAGAACTTAGATCCATAGCATCTATGATGCTAGTATACTGAGTCAATGGCACTATATTGAAAAGTGTATTTATTAGATTCAACACCAATAGAACATAATATTGCATCAGGAAAATGTGTTTTTTTTTGATACATGTATTATATGTATATTATACACGTATTATTTTACATTAAAGGTGATCCACATATAATATACATATAATACACATGTCCATAAATTACACACGAATTATACATATATTATATGTGGATCACCTGTAATGTAAAATAATACATGTATAATATACATATAATACATGTATAAAAAAAACACATTTTCCTGATGATGCACATTTGGGATGTTCCAATTCCAATTGGAATTTATTAGAATGCTCCAATTAAATTTTATTGGAACCATAAATGGCACAACACTGCCCCCAGTAATTGTTGCAATTAATTGTTTCTCGTGCATAATTTCGACCAATGATAAATTAGTGGACAAATTAGGCCATCAGGAAAATGGGTACAAATATTATCCGTATATAATACACAATTGCAGGGATTAAGCATATAATATGCGTACAAATCACATATTTTTTTATGTATGTGTATAAAAAAAACACATTTTCCTGATGATGCACATTTGGGATGTTCCAATTCCAATTGGAATTTATTAGAATGCTCCAATTAAATTTTATTGGAACCATAAATGGCACAACACTGCCCCCAGTAATTGTTGCAATTAATTGTTTCTCGTGCATAATTTCGACCAATGATAAATTAGTGGACAAATTAGGCCATCAGGAAAATGGGTACAAATATTATCCGTATATAATACACAATTGCAGGGATTAAGCATATAATATGCGTACAAATCACATATTTTTTTATGTATGCAAATTGTACATATATTATATGCTTAATCCCTGCAATTGTGTATTATATATATGCATAATATTTGTACCCATTTTCCTGATGACTACTTGGAATTTATTTTTGCAGACAACAAAAAGAAAATTATTTTTATTTTAAAAATATAAGTTAAAAATCGCATTTGCATGGGAGGAAAATACTTGGACCCAAAGCCATTTGTGAGTATTACCTATTCTTTGGGCATTCTGACAAAAATCTAACTTTGCTATTACTACTGCTATTATTATCAATAATGTTATTATTACTAATATTTATATTTTCATTGTTAAGACTCCGAACAGATCAGATCAGATTGGATTTGGTGGAAATCTGATCTGATCTGAAATCTGTTTAAGCTGATCTGATCCGATCTGGGTTTTTAAAATAATGGATCTGATCTGATCTGATCTGATCTGGTTCTTTAAAATATTGGATCTGATCTGATCTGATCTGGTTCCTCAAATACTGGATCTGATCTGATCTGATCTGGTTCTTTAAATATTGAATCTGATCTGATCTGATCTGAAATCCGAAATCTGATCCAAGATATTACTGTAAAGTAGCACTTCTGTGACATTGCCTTTTTAGTAAATTTTATGGTTTGCCACAGAGCACTATCTTTCCAGACTTTATGATATAAATAATAATAAAAATTTTATAAAAATATTTGAAAAAAAAATTAATTTTACAATTTTTACAAATTAAAGAATTTTATGAATTAAGAATTTTTATGAATTAAGAACTTCTATGAATTAAGAATTTTTTTATATGAATTTATGAATCAATTACTTTATGAACTATAATGGCAAACGTTATTATTAATAATGATTCAGATCTACCAGAAGATGTAACAACAGTAACTGTTGATGATAATAATAATAGAAAAAAAAGAAGAAGTGAAGTTTGGGAGCACTTTACTTTTGCTAATGATAAAGCAAAGTGTAAACACTGCATTGGGTAAATATTTTAATGAACTTGCAGTTTTCAAAAAACATATTCTTATTTATTTGAAATAATATATTTTTCAGAGGTTCATACACTGTTTCAAGTCGTAGTAATTCTAGCACTGGTAATCTTTATAAACCTTTGAGAAGTCAACATCCAACTAAGCTTAATACCAATGAAAAAAACATTGCAGTAACCGGGACTCTGAATCATTTTGTGCAATCAAAAAAATTACCAGTTAGTATAGAATTCTGAATAATAATTTGTTAAATTAATTTTATAATTGCTTATTTTTAATTTCTTTTTATCAGCCTTTTTCAGCTGAAAGCTTTTGAAATTTTCTTATACGTTGGATTGTATGTAGTAATCAACCATTCATTGAAATAGAAAATGAAGAATTAAAAAATCTGTTGTGGTTGTTGCAGCCTGGAGTTCCTTTACCATCAGCAGATACTATAAAGAATGAAATTATTAAATCATTTGATAAAGAACGTTCTAATCTGAAAGAATTATTACAAGTATATAAACATATAATATATACTGTGTTTATATCAATTTTTATATTTATATTAAAATTTTAATTTTTATTATATTGCCATTATTGTTAGAATATCCCAGGGCATATCTCCTTCACATTAGATTGCTGGACTTCTGCAAATACAATTCCTTTTCTAGGAATAACAAGTCATTGGATAAATATTGATTGGCAACTCCAAGAAACATTGATAGATTTTGTAAAGCTATCTGGTCCCCATTCTGGGGATAACTTGCGAGAAGCATTTGTGGCTTCATGTAGAGACCTTGGAATATTTGCAAAGGTAATTATTTTAAAAATAAGCATATTTAATTCAATTAAATTTAATTGATTAATATATTATTTGCAAATATAGCTCTTAGCTGTTACAACAGACAATGCTATGAATAACAATACATTTGTTAGTTCTTTAGCTGATATTTGTTATAATGAGGGTATTAATTTTGATATTGATAATAATCATGTGCGTTGTCTTGCTCATGTCATGAATATTGCTGTTCAACATGCACTTAAATCACTAAAAGCAACAGCTGCTAATAACAAGGATGAAGTTTTAAATATTGATGATAATGACGTGAATGGTTTCCATACTATAATGAAGGTAAATCTTAAAACCATTTTTATTTCAGTAAATAGTACACTTGGTGTACTTATTATATTTAACATAATGATTTTTTAATTCTCTAGCTACGTAAATTAATTGTAAAAATTAAATCATCTCCACAACAACAGGAAAGGTTTTCAAAGGCTTGTAAATTAGCCAATTTAAAATATAAAGAATTGATTTTAGACATAGTCACATGTTGGAATTCTACATATGAAATGATTATGTGTGCTATTGAATATAAAGAGATAAGTATTTAAATGCAATTTATATGTTTAATTTATTAAATGAGTAATGATATAAACATGTTTTCTATTGTTTATAAGCTGTAGAAAGTGTGGGAAGAGCAGATAGATACATGATTAAATGGGTGTTAAATGAAGAAGAATGGTCAAAGCTTGTTGAAATTTCTCAATTATTACATGTAAGTTAATTATTATTTTTTTGATGCAATACTATTACATCAATTTTTTTTTATATTAACTTATTATTAATTTAATATATGTTTTGCTATTTAGCTTTTTTCACGTGCAACTAAACATATTTCTACAAATCATTATCCAACTCTTACTTCAACAGTTCTTATATTTAATTGGCTAATTGATAATCTTGAAGATTATGAACACAATTTAAATGGTACAAGTGATATTAAAGGAAAAGTTAAAGAAGTGATTGAAAAACTTAAGTTTTATTATATTAGGACTGATGCTTCTGTTTATACTATTGCTACAAGTAAGCATAATGGTTTTAGTTCAATATAACTACAATAATTTATACTAAATTGATATTTTTATTAGTCCTTTGATCAAGACTCAAGTTAGATTATTATAGAGATAACAATTGGGAAGCAAATTTTATAAACAATGCACATCAAGTTATCAAAGATATATATCAATCTGGATATGCACCAAATTTGACTGTATTTAGCAATCCTGAAAATAATGATATTGAAGAAGAAGAAGATCTTACTGCTCATATTTACAAACATCAACAAATTGTCAGAGATGATGATGAATTGGATGCATATCTTAAATCACCAAATGCACCACCAAAAACTGATGTATTGACTTGGTGGAAAGTAAGTAAATTTTTATTTAAATTATTGTATATAAATATAGATAATTAAATTCACATGTTTTGTTATTTGTTATTCTCCAGAATCATGAGTCAGAGTATCCACATTTGGCATTGATGGCAAGAGATTATCTTGCCATCCCAGCAACAAGTGTGCCAGTTGAGAGAATTTTTTCAGGAGGAACTGATCTAGTGACAGCAACCAGGTGTAGTTTATCTGCAAGCACGATTAGAGCTTGTATGTGTCTTAGATATTGGTGGAAGGGGGTATTAAAGAATCAATTATGAATATATGTAAAAAAAATTTTGAATAAATAAAATTTTATATTAATTATCTATAAATCAATCTGGTCTAGTTTTGATCTGAGTTTTGATCTGATCTGGTCTGGTTTTGATCTGATCTGATCTGGTTCAAAACAGATTGCATTTTAATAGGATCTGATCTGATCTGATCTGGTTTAAACAGATTGCAAATTTAACTGGATCTGATCTGATCTGATCTGGTCTGGTCTGGTTTTGATCTGATCTAATCTGGTTTAAAACAGATTGCAATTTAATAAGATCTGAACTGAACTGAACTGAACTGATTTTGATCTGATCTGTTTGGAACCTTACTTGTTTCAGTCTTTTCCTTATTAGTTTCATTTTTAATTTCAATTTTTATAATAATAAAATCAATATTAAACCTTGTTGTATATATAGTTTGAATATTGTGAAATTGAAATTCCGTGTCTCACACAAATCTCTTGGATTTAGTTAAACTAATATTTATTTCGTTTTATGGTAGTATCCAATTATTTAATTATTTGATTACTTTCTTTTACTATAGCACTCAAGCTATTTAATTATTTACAGGGCAAGTTTCCTCACTTCCCTTCCGGTAACATTTTCTCAGCAGTTGCTATGTTTGCTGCCTGAGCCAGAACGTGTCAATTATTATCTCCTCTGATAATAATCCCAGTATCCTCCTTGATACTGATATGTTGTGTTTAT